TGTCTCCAGGACATCGTTGTCACTGCCCTCCAGGACCTCCTTGTCACTGTCTCCAGGACCTCCTTGTCACTGTCTCCAGGACATCCTTGTCACTGTCTCCAGGACATCGTTGTCACTGTCTCCAGGACATCGTGTCACTGTCTCCAGATTTTCCCTTTGGGTCACTGTCTCCAGGACATCCTTGTCACTGTCTCCAGGACATCCTTGTCACTGTCTCCAGGACCTCCTTGTTACTGTCTCCAGGACTTTCCTTGTCACTGTCTCCAGGACCTCCTTGTCACTGTCTCCAGGACATCCTTGTCACTGTCTCCAGGGCAATCCTTGTCACTGTCTCCAGGACCCCCTTTGTCACTGTCTCCAGGACATCATTGTCATTGTCTCCAGGACATCCTTGTCACTGTCTCCAGGACCCCTTTGTCACTGTCTCCAGGACATCGTTGTCACTGTCTCCAGGACATCGTTGTCACTGTCTCCAGGACATCTTTTGTCACTGTCTCCAGGACCTCCTTGTCACTGTCCTCCAGGACTCCTTGTCACTGTCTCCAGGACATCCTTGTCACTGTCTCCAGGACATCGTTGTCACTGTCTCCAGGACCTCCTTGTCACTGTCTCCAGGACCTCCTTGTCACTGTCTCCAGGACATCCTTGTCACTGTCTCCAGGACATCGTTGTCACTGTCTCCAGGACATCGTTGTCACTGTCTCCAGGACCTCCTTGTCACTGTCTCCAGGACCTCCTTGTCACTGTCTCCAGGACATCGTTGTCACTGTCTCCAGGACATCGTTGTCACTGCCCTCCAGGACCTCCTTGTCACTGTCTCCAGGACCTCCTTGTCACTGTCTCCAGGACATCCTTGTCACTGTCTCCAGGACATCCTTGTCACTGTCTCCAGGACCTCCTTGTCACTGTCTCCAGGACTCCTTGTCACTGTCTCCAGGACATCCTTGTCACTGTCTCCAGGACATCGTTGTCACTGTCTCCAGGACATCGTTTGTCACTGTCTCCAGGACCTCCTTGTCACTGTCTCCAGGACCTCCTTGTCACTGTCTCCAGGACATCGTTGTCACTGTCTCCAGGACATCGTTGTCACTGTCTCCAGGACCTCCTTGTCACTGTCTCCAGGACCTCCTTGTCACTTTTCCAGGACATCCTTGTCACTGTCTCCAAGGACATCCTTGTCACTGTCTCCAGGACATCGTTGCATGTCTCCGGGACCTCCTTGTCACTGTCTCCAGGACCTCCTTGTCACTGTCTCCAGGACCTCCTTGTCACTGTCTCCAGGACCTCCTTGTCACTGTCTCCAGGACATCCTTGTCACTGTAACATGATAAGTCACATAGGCAACTGTTGGGTATCTATATTCTGTGTTCGAGTGTAGGCGTCTACACAGTAATAATGTGTAGAAGCCTACTCAGTAATAATGTGTAGAAGCCTACTCAGTAATAATGTGTAGAAGCCTACACAGTAATAATGTGTAGAAGCCTACTCAGTAATAATGTGTAGAAGCCTACTCAGTAATAATGTGTAGAAGCCTACTCAGTAATAATGTGTAAAGCCTACACAGTAAATAATGTGTAAACCTACTCAGTAATAATGTGTAGAAGCCTACTCAGTAATAATGTGTAGAAGCCTACTCAGTAATAATGTGTAGAAGCCTACTCAGTAATAATGTGTAGAAGCCTACTCAGTAATAATGTGTAGAAGCCTACACAGTAGGCTTCTACAGTCGAACACAGAGATGGCAGCAGAAGCAGTGTAGATGTAGCAACGACGTAATCAGTCCCTCCCCCTGGAACACCTGTCTTAATGAAGGTCATTTTTCATTCAAATTGTGGTATAAGAACTGCCAATCCCCTGACACCGTGCCTGGGGTGTTGGCACTCTAGTCTGCGTGGAGGTCACCAGGTGAATTCTCCCACCAGAGCTGACCTCTTACGTACATTTCCTGACCTCAAAGAGCTTCCACAACTCCCCATAACTCCTGGCTAGAGAGGTCAGCTTCTGGTGGGTCACTGACCAGTTGGTCTCCACAGAGGGTAGAGTGCCCAGACCAAGGCAGGATGTCAGAAGATTGGCACCTGACATAATACAGTTACAAACAGGTACTGGACACAGTCTCAGTCTACCACAAAGGCAGGGAAGTAAAGTTTCCTGAACGAGAGGTTTGGTAAGTTGGGGCAGGAAGAAAGAGAGGAAGAGATGGTATGTGAAGGAGGGGTTGGTGGTGGGTGGGGGGTTGGTGGGGGTGGGGGTTGGTTGGTTGTGGGTGGGGGTTGGTGGTGGTGGGGGTTGGGTGGTGGGTGGGGGGTAATAAACATAAGTGATCCAACCACTTTGGCGTATATTAATGAAGGTGTGTGAGTGTGTGTGAGTGTGTGTGAGTGTGTGTGTGTACTCACCTAGTTTGCACTCGCCTAGTTGGGTTGCAGGGGTCGATTTCTAGCTCCTGGCCCCGCCTCTTCACTGGTCGCTACTAGGTCACTCTCCCTGAACCGTGAGCTTCATCATACCTCTGCTTAAAGCTATGTATGGATCCTGCCTCTAGTACATCGCTTCACAAACTATTCCACTTCCTGACTAATCTGTGGCTGAAGAAATACTTCCTGTGTGTGTGTGTGTGTGTGTGTGGGGTGTGTGTGTGTGTGTGTGTGTGTGTGTGTGTGGTGTGTTGGGGTGTGTTGTGGGGTGTGTGTGTGTGTGTGTGTGTGTGTGTGTGTGTGGGGTGTGTGTGTGTGTGTGTTGTTATACACAATAACCAGGTGATCGTGTACACCGCCCTCATCACAGACACTTGTATACAAGATACATACTTGCGTGACAGTGAATTGGTGGTAAATATATTTTCGTAATTGCCAGGTATTTTTTATGGGGGCAGGTGCAGGAGGTAGGTTGCTGGGGCTGGTGGCAAGGATGTTGTTGGAGTTGGTGGTTGGATGATCTGCTCCTGAGGTGGTGTGCCATAGGAGGTTCGCGGATGTTACTTGGTTCCCTTGGTTAGATGTTAGGTTAGGTTAGGTTAGGTTCATCAGGAAACAGAACTATTGTTTCCTGATGCGGGTTTTATATTAGACGTAAGGTCTCCATAATAGAGATGTTTTTTTCTATCTTGAACACAAAATGGCTCTGGTCGTACTCATTCTTCTAAATCTTCAGGGAGATCAGTCAGAATCTTTGGTCTTGGGAAGCTCTACTTGTGTATGTAACGTTGAACTCTTTGTTGGAGAGACATCCTGTGTGTCCTGTTGGGAGGTGTGTTGATGATGTAGTCAGTGGTGTTAGTTGGCTGGGATGTGTTTTCTCTTGTTGGTATATAGAATTCTTGCATGAAATTTAGTTGTAGCTTTGTCCAACCTGACATTTACTGCGTCCATCTCCTGTTGGATGTGCAGATCTTCCAGTCGGACTTTGTATCTCAGTCAGGTGGCTGTGATAAAGCGAAGTGCCTTGTTCTGGACTCCTGGAAGCTGTTGCATGTTGCTGTTGTTGTTAGTATCATGGTCACGCAACGATATTCAAGCACAGGTCTTATCATTATCTTACATACGTTCTTCTTGACATGAGGACCTGATTAAACGTGTATACCTGAGACAAACTTTAGCTAAGTTTACCTTTTTGGTGACGTGTGATGTAGAGTGGATCTCGTAGCCCAGGATCTTATTGGGTTTTTGATAATGATCGTTGTACCTGTGATGGAGACACCTCCATTGTTTTCGTGGTAAAACATCAGATGGTGCTGATGCGGACCTTGTCAGGATTGGTCGTGATTCTCCATTTCTTCTCCCAATTGGCTATTTTTTTCGCAGTTCAATTTTCATTTTATTTGTCAGCCTCTAGTGCATGTTTTTGTCCAGATGTAAGGCTGGATCAACGTATGAAGCTTGAACATGAAGCTTGCACCTAAAGCTTACTCGTCAAACTTGCACGTGAAGCTTACACACAAAGCTTATATTGAGGATGTAAAGCTTTATCAAGTCGTTTCATTCTGCGTACAGCTTTATATATATATATATATATATATATATATATATATATATATATATATATATAATATATATATATATATATATATATATATAAATATATATATATATATATATATATATATATAATATATAATATATATATATATATATGTGTGTGTGTGTGTGTGTGTGTTGTGTGTGTGTGTGTGTGTGTACTCACCTAATTGTGGTTGCAGGGTCGAGACTCAGCTCCTGGCCCCGCCTCTTCACTGATCGCTACTGGATCCTCTTTCTCTCTGCTTCCTGAGCTTTGTCATACCTCTTCTTAAAATTATGTATGGTTCCTGCCTCCACTACTTCACTTGCTAGGCTATTCCACTTGCTGACAACTCTATGACTGAAGAAATACTTCCTAACGTCCCTGTGACTCGTCTGAGTCTTCAGCTTCCAGTTGTGACCCCTTGTCCCTGTGTCCCCCCTCTGTGTGTTTTGTGTTTTGTGTGTGTGTGTGTGTGTGTGTGTGTGTGTGTGTGTGTGTGTGTGTGTGTGTGTGTGTGGGGTGTGTGTGTGTGTGTGTGTGTGTGTGTTGTGTGTGTGTATATATATATATATATATATATATATATATATATATATATATATATATATATATATAATATATATATATATATGTATATAATATATATATATATATATATATATATATATATATATATATAATATATATAGATAGATAGATAGATAGATAGATAGATATATAAGCTATGCCAGTGGCAGCACCTAAGTGATCTCCCCTCCCGGAAACCTGTAGGGGGCGTGGCCAGGTGAACACAAGGTGAATGGGGTACATCTAGGTGATTTTCGACTCGGGAGAACGCTGTAGACGTAATCAGGTGAAAACGGGCACCTACCTGATTTCCCTTCGTAGTAGACGTAAATAAATAATCACTGGGTGAGTGTAGGAACCTACCTGCTCTTCCCTCACTGGTACCTAATAGGAGGAGTGTTCAGGTGAACACAAGGGGAGTAGACACCTACCTGATCTCTTGGTGTAGTGACGGTGTCCTGGTAAACGACTGATATCAATAGCCGAAGCAGTGGCTGCTAAGAGTACCAAGACAAGAGCAGAGCCCTGGCTCACACTGCTGCTGCTGTGTCGGCCCATAATTGCTGCCAGAGTGCCAAAGTCTCTCACAACACTAGCACACAGTGCCACAGCGTGCCGTAGGCTCAGGTGTGCTTCAGAATGCAGTCTACGCGGCCGCTACAACAGCACAGACGAGGGTTGGAAACTATCGCGAGTGGCGGTGCTGGTAGCAGGGAAGGCAGATATGTGTTTCAGAGCCAGCTGGCACTGGTGCTTGGCGCTGTGTGGCTCTGCTACCACCGGTTGCTGAGAGCTCAACCGGTCTCTACACTTTATACGCCACACAGTCCCACACACTCCACTAACACACTCACACTCAACACAAAATTCTTCAGCAGATCGATCCTGTGTCACTTTGTACTGTCCGAATCCTGTACTCCATCTACAGAGCCTATTCTCTCTTTCTTCCCGGTGCCGCTCACCACCACAACACTAGTGCCGTAATCTTACTTCGCTAAATATAGTAAAAAATATCGTTTGACTATGTAATTGATGCCAAAACAACAATAAAAGCAGAGAGAGGTGACCAAACGCTCCGCAAGCCATCGTCCATGGGAGCAGACCTGCGCCTGGGATATCGCTCTCAGCCAATCAGCGCTGAGACAGCTCGCGGTTCGGCCAATCAGCGGAGGGCTTCCGAGTTGCTATCGTGGCGCCAAAGGCCGTCAATACCACAAGAGAAGGCGAGTGGGAGAACCTTCCTTCTGTCTCCCTTCAGCAAGGCTGGGAATCTATTGATGCCTTTAACCTCACCTTTTCCCCTCTGGCTGTGAGGGGAACAGGTGAGGGAGGGGAACAGAGCGGTGCAGACCTGGGCGTGGTGAGGGAGGAGCAGCCCCGCCCGCGCCCGCGCCCACGCACCTGACCTCCCACCCACCGCCCTCTCTTGTTATTCGCTCTGCTACAGGTGTTCTCTTGCATATTCCTCTTCTGAACACCGTACACCTTTTCTGAACACCATACATCTTTTCTGAACATGCATCTTTTTTGAACACCATATACGCCTCTTCTGAACACCATACACACCTCCCCTCAACACCATACACGCCTCTCTTCAACACCATACACGCCTCCCTTCAACACCATACACGCCTCTCCTCAACACCATACAAGCCTCTCCTCAACACCATACAAGCCTCTCCTCAACATCATACACGCCTCCCTTCAACACCATACACGCCTCTCCTCAACACCATACAAGCCTCTCCTCAACACCAATACAAGCCTCTCCTCAACACCATACACGCCTCTCCTCAACACCATACAAGCCTCTCCTCAACACCATACACGCCTCCCTTCAACACCATACACGCCTCTCCTCAACACCATACAAGCCTCTCCTCAACACCATACAAGCCTCTCCTCAACACCATACAAGCCTCTCCTCAACACCATACACGCCTCTCCTCAACACCATACACGCCTCTCCCTCAACACCATACACGCCTCCCCTCAACACCATACACGCCTCTCCTCAACACCATACAAGCCTCTCCTCAACACCATACACGCCTCTCCTCAACACCATACACGCCTCTCCTCAACACCATACACGCCTCTCCTCAACACCATACAAGCCTCTTCTCAACACCATACACGCCTCTCCTCAACACCATACACGCCTCTCCTCAACACCATACAAGCCTCTCCTCAACACCATACACGCCTCTCCTCAACACCATACAAGCCTCTCCTCAACACCATACACGCCTCTCCTCAACACCATACAAGCCTCTCCTCAACACCATACACGCCTCTCCTCAACACCATACACGCCTCTCCTCAACACCATACAAGCCTCTCCTCAACACCATACAAGCCTCTCCTCAACACCATACAAGCCTCTCCTCAACACCATACACGCCTCTCCTCAACACCATACACGCCTCTCCTCAACACCATACACGCCTCTCCTCAACACCATACACGCCTCTCCTCAACACCATACACGCCTCTCCTCAACACCATACACGCCTCTCCTCAACACCATACAAGCCTCTCCTCAACACCATTACAAGCCTCTCCTCAACACCATACACGCCTCTCCTCAACACCATACAAGCCTCTCCTCAACACCATACACGCCTCTCCTCAACACCATACAAGCCTCTCCTCAACACCATACAAGCCTCTCCTCAGCACCATACAAGCCTCTCCTCAACACCATACAAGCCTCTCCTCAACACCATACAAGCCTCTCCTCAACACCATACAAGCCTCTCCTCAACACCATACAAGCCTCTCCTCAACACCATACAAGCCTCTCCTCAACACCATACACGCCTCTCCTCAACACCATACACGCCTCTCCTCAACACCATACAAGCCTCTCCTCAACACCATACACGCCTCTCCTCAACACCATACACGCCTCTCCTCAACACCATACACGCCTCTCCTCAACACTACAAGCCTCTCCTCAACACCATACAAGCCTCTCCTCAAACACCATACAAGCCTCTCCTCAACAACCATACACGCCTCTCCTCAACACCATACAAGCCTCTCCTCAACACCATACACGCCTCTCCTCAACACCATACACGCCTCTCCTCAACACCATACACGCCTCTCCTCAACACCATACAAGCCTCTCCTCAACACCATACAAGGTTCTCCTCAACACCATACACGCCTCTCCTCAACACCATACAAGCCTCTCCTCAACACCATACAAGCCTCTCCTCAACACCATACAAGCCTCTTCTCAACACCATACACGCCTCTCCTCAACACCATACACGCCTCTCCTCAACACCATACAAGCTTCTCCTCAACCACCATACACGCCTCTCCTCAACACCATACAAGCCTCTCCTCAACACCATACAAGCCTCTCCTCAACACCATACAAGCCTCTCCTCAACACCATACACGCCTCTCCTCAACACCATTACAAGCTTCTCCTCAACACCATACACGCCTCTCCTCAACACCATACACGCTTCTCCTCAACACCATACACGCCTCTCCTCAACACCATACACGCTTCTCCTCACACCATACACGCCTCTCCTCAACACCATACACGCTTCTCCTCAACACCATACACGCCTCTCCTCAACACCATACACGCTTCTCCTCAACACCATACACGCCTCTCCTCAACACCATACACGCCTCTCCTCAACACCATACAAGCTTCTCCTCAACACCATACACGCCTCTCCTCAAACCATACAAGCTTCTCCTCAACACCATACACGCCTCTCCTCAACACCATACAAGCTTCTCCTCAACACCATACACGCCTCTCCTCAACACCATACACGCCTCTCCTCAACACCATACACGCCTCTCCATCAACACCATACACGCCTCTCCTCAACACCATACACGCCTCTCCTCAACACCATACAAGCTTCTCCTCAACACCATACACGCCTCTCCTCAACACCATACACGCCTCTCCTCAAACACCACACACGCCTCTCCTCAACACCACACACGCCTCTCCTCAACACCATACAAGCTTCTCCTCAACACCATACACGCCTCTCCTCAACACCATACACGCCTCTCCTCAACACCATACACGCCTCTCCTCAACACCATACACGCCTCTCCTCAACACCATACACGCCTTCTCCTCAACACCATACAAGCTTCTCCTCAACACCATACACGCCTCTCCTCAACACCATACACGCCTCTCCTCAACACCACACACGCCTCTCCTCAACACCATACACGCCTCTCCTCAACACCATACACGCCTCTCCTCAACACCACACACGCCTCTCCTCAACACCACACACGCCTCTCCTCAACACCATACAAGCTTCTCCTCAACACCATACACGCCTCTCCTCAACACCATACACGCCTCTCCTCAACACCATACACGCCTCTCCTCAACACCATACACGCCTCTCCTCAACACCATACACGCCTCTCCTCAACACCATACAAGCTTCTCCCTCAACACCATACACGCCTCTCCTCAACACCATACACGCCTCTCCTCACACCATACACGCCTCTCCTCAACACCACACACGCCTCTCCTCAACACCATACACGCCTCTCCTCAACACCATACACGCCTCTCCTCAACACCACACACGCCTCTCCTCAACACCACACACACGCCTCTCCTCAACACCATACAAGCTTCTCCTCAACACCATACACGCCTCTCCTCAACACCATACACGCCTCTCCTCAACACCATACACGCCTCTCCTCAACACCATACACGCCTCTCCTCAACACCATACACGCCTCTCCCTCAACACCATACAAGCTTCTCCTCAACACCATACACGCCTCTCCTCAAACACATACACGCCTCTCCTCAACACCATACACGCCTCTCCTCAACACCATACACGCCTCTCCTCAACACCATACAAGCTTCTCCTCAACACCATACACGCCTCTCCTCAACACCATACACGCCTCTCCTCAACACCATACACGCCTCTCCTCAACACCATACACGCCTCTCCTCAACACCATACACGCCTCTCCTCAACAACCATACAAGCTTCTCCTCAACACCATACAAGCCTCTCCTCAACACCATACAAGCTTCTCCTCAACACCATACACGCCTCTCCTCAACACCATACAAGCTTCTCCTCAACACCATACACGCCTCTCCTCAACACCATACACGCCTCTCCTCAACACCATACAAGCTTCTCCTCAACACCATACACGCCTCTCCTCAACACCATACACGCCTCTCCTCAACACCATACAAGCTTCTCCTCAACACCATACACGCCTCTCCTCAACACCATACACGCTTCTCCTCAACACCATACACGCCCTCTCCTCAACACCATACACGCTTCTCCTCAACACCATACACGCCTCTCTCTCAACACCATACACGCCTCTCCTCAACACCATACAAGCCTCTCCTCAACACCACACACGCCTCTCCTCAACACCATACAAGCCTCTCCTCAACACCATACACGCCTCTCCTCAACACCATACACGCCTCTCCTCAACACCATACACGCCTCTCCTCAACACCATACAAGCTTCTCCTCAACACCATACACGCCTCTCCTCAACACCATACACGCTTCTCCTCAACACCATACACGCTCAAATGGCAACGCTCTTCTTGCCGAATAAGGCAAGCGAAAATTTGTGTATGCAGTAATTTTGCAAAAGTCCTTCTGAACCTAACGAAAAAATATATTTCATTGTATTTGTTTATTAAATTATTGTAAATTTCTCTAAAACTTATTTAGTAGGATTAGGCCAAATTAAATTTAGCTTGTTATAATAAGGTCAGGTAAGTTTCCTAAGGCTCTTTTGGTACAAAATTATTAATTTTTACATTAACATAAATGAAA